GGGGGAGGGGGGCAAGTGGGGCTGCTCGCAATTCGCGCTGTGCAGAATGAGCGCACACTCTATGCCATGCACTGCTGACACTCTTCTGAACATAGCATTTAGATCTCAAAAAACTTTAGGGCAATATTACCACAAGCGAGGACACAGAGCCCAAGAGGGTCAAGTGCTCTTCCAAGGTCGCATGACTAGTAGGTAGCAGAGCTTGGTTTGAGTGTGTGCTCAGAGCCAGAGCTTCTCAGACTTCAAGTGCATAAGAATAGTCTAGGAATTTGTTAAAATGCTGATTCTGGTTCATAAGGTCTGAGGAGGGGCCGGATGTGTAAAGTACCCAGATACTGCTACTGCTGCTGTTCTGGTGGCCACACTTTGAATAGGAGGCTATCAAAAACCAGTGAGCTGTATAGTCTAGTATGTCACTGGCCTCCTGCCAGAGACTACCTTGATTATAATTGACACAGTAGCTTTGTAGACCTCCAAAGATGAAAGGAGAAAAAAGCTCTGGATGTCTTTGAACTGAACTTTTTGCATTGATTGGCTGACTGTACGTATGGGTATGGGTGTGTGGAGGTCAGAGGACAACCTGAGGATGCTCTCTCCCTATCACATGGAGCCTGAGGGTTGAACTCCGGTGGTCAGCCTTTGCCCATTGAGCCATCTCACTGGCCCTGAACTTAACTTTGAATGTAAGGTAAAACTTAACAGTTTTCTAGGCCTATAAAACTAGACCCAGGCAAATGGAGATGAGGACCTCTAAAGGGGTGCATCTGATTATTTAGGGTGGAAGGTTATGGTATTCAGGCTATCAAGATTAAGTAGATGGTAGCAATTTATTCTTTAGGCAGGTGGGAGCTTTGAGAGTTGAGGGCGCGCAGTGATGAGACTGTTTTCAGAGGGTCAGTTTGTCAGCAGTATGGAACATTAATTGGAACTAATGAGAACATTTTTAAAAGATTTTATTTATTTATTTATTTATTTATTTATTTATTTATTTATTTATTTATTTACTTTTGTCCTTTTGAGACAGGGTCTCCCTGTAGCCCAAGCTGGCCTGGAACTCACTATGTAGACCAGGCTGGCCTTGAACTCACAGGGATCCGCCTGCCTCTGCCTCCCGAGTACTGGGATTAAAGGCATTCGCCACCACACCCGGCCTAAAAGAGATTTTATTTTTATTTATTCCATGTGTATGAATGTTTGCCTGCATGTATTTATGTGTACCACATGCATGCCAACAACATATTTTTACCCAAGAAATTTTTATGTAGCCCCAGATGTATAGGTGTTTTAAATAAATGTGCAGATCAAATATTTTTTGTTAGTAGATCATTAAAGAAGTTTATTTTAAAACAATTCTTTGGTATGCATATAATTTTACCATTGAATAATAAAGCAATTTTGTAAACTGAGATGAATGTTTTTATCTAACAATGTAGCCCAAAGATATGCTTTGTTTCCCATAATTAAGTTGCTGTTTCTATTAGCGAAGACAGTTTTGCATATGCAGTAAAAACACTGCAATTCATAACATCCAGTACTCTCAAATCTGAGCTGAGGTGTTTCAGAGACCATTTATTGGTGTTGCATGGCATGACTGCTTGCAGTGTAAAGTGAATGTGCTAGTTCAGAAACAAGACTGCGGAGAGGTTGTGCAGTGCCACGTGGGCAGGTGCTGCCAAAAATCACAGATCATTATGTACTTGATGGGAGTGGGGGATTTGTGTGTGGGTATGGGTGTAGGTGTGGATGGGTTTGGTTAGGTTTGGTTGTTTTTTTGAGACAGTGTCTCACTATTTTGCCCTGGCTGACCTGGAACTTACTATATAGACCAGGTTGGCCTTGAACTCATAGAGACCTCCTCCACCTTTGCCCTCCAAGTGCTAGAGTTAAGATATGCTCCATCACACCCAGCATATGCATTTGATTTTGAATTAATCTTTGGTTGTTGCACATTTAGAATTCTTTTACTATTGCTGGGTTTTTGTGTGTGTGTGTGGTCCCACCCCCAGACTCAGTTATGTACCTCATGTGAAGCTTTTTCTGGCTCAGTGTCTGGAATGTAGTGAGGTGAAATATAATGAAATAAGTATTTAGTGAAGGAATGTATTAAATATATATGAATTCTGAGGTCCCAGCCTTTACAGACCAGTAAGCAATTGTTGCTGGGCATGGTGGCACACGCTTTAGTCCCAGCACTCAGGAGACAGAGGTAGGCGGATCTTTGTGAGATCAAGGCCAACCTGGTCTACATAGTGAGTTCTAGGCCAGTTGGGGTTACAAGGAGACCCTGTCTCAAAGGGAACACCAAAAAACAAAAAGCCCAGTTGTGACACAAGTTTATGTTCATGCATATTGTCGGTTTCTTTTCCTGTCACTTTGATAGAATACCTGGCTAAAGCAACTTAAGGGAGGACAAAATCCATTTTGGCTCACATTTTTAGAGAATATTCTCTATACTGGTGGGGAAGGTGTGGTGGGAATAACTCACAGCTGTGGCAGCCGGAGCCTGCTAGCATCTAGGTCTTTAGGAAGCAAAGACTGGACAAGAACCAGGGCTGGGCTATAACTCAGGATCCCACCCCCACCCTGGCTCATAAGTGCTAGGATTATGTCCTGGGCCACCATACCCAGTGAGGGTTTCCTAATGATTATTTTTGTAGTATAGCTACAAATGTACATTTGTAGTCAATGTGCAAATGTAAACTGGGATGTAGAGACATACCAAATTGCTTTTAGACCATGTGTAGACCTTGTGTAACCAGTTCATTTAACTTTCTGAAAGAGAAAGAAAAAAAAATGTTTAAATGTTTTTCTGTTTTTAATTCAGAATTTAGGATTACCTGTATTAAGTATTTTACAAAACCTTTTTCTGCTTACCTGCATTAAGTATTTTACAAAACCTCTACTTACACAATCTCGGTGGCCAGTGAGGTGGCTCAATAGGTAAAGATACCTGCCATCAAGCATGATGTTCAATCCTTGAGACCCCATGTGATAGAAGGAAAAACCAACTCCTCCAAGTTGTCCTACCTCCAAATGGCACTGTGATGTGCCCAACATGGATACGCATACATTACTAAATGAGTTCAAGAAGATCTTGTGTTCTATGATTTTGTATGCTAACATGAGAAATTAATTTTAAAAATCTATTGTGATGTGTATGTATGGTGTATGCATGTGTGTGAGTGCACTTGCCCATGTGTGTACATGTGGAGGCCAAAGGTTGATGTAGAGTCTCTCCTCTGATTCCACCTTACTCGTTTGAGACAGGGTCTGTCACTGAACCTAACTTGCCATTTTGGCTAGACTGGTGGCCGAGTCCCTGGAATCCTCCTGCTTCCTCCTCCCAGCCCTAGCATTACTCAGGTGCTAGATGTCCAAACTCAGGTCCTCGGGCTCACATAGCAGGTACTTCACCCACTGAGCCATCTTTCCAGCCCCCATTGCCATTTTGAACCATTTCCTTAATGACTGATGTTCTTTAACATCTTTTCATGTTCCCATCACTCACTCCATGTCAGACTGCCCACACCCACCTGTACCTCCAGGAGGTCCGATGCCTCTGGCCTCCTCAACCACCTGCACTCCTGTGCACAAACCCACACAGACACATGTATACATAGTTAAAAATAAAATAAATCTTTAAAAAATGACTTTGCAAGTGTCTTCTTCCTTTACATGGACTGTCTTATTTGATGGCTTCTATTAAAGTACAAAAGAGAATACGTAACTGGAAAAGCCTTGGTTCTATTGATAGTCTCGTTTGCAGACTTAGTGTTACTTTTCATGATTGTTAGTTTTTTTTCAAGGAGTTCTAGCCTGGCTCAGGATATATAGTTGTTACATGGTCTCAAAAAAACCAGGCTAGAGACACAACTCAGACCTTGTCTAGCATGTATGAAGCCTGAGTTCAATCCCCAGTGCTACATAAAAACCCAGTGTAGTGGTGTGTGCCTGTAATCCCAGCACTTGGGAGATGGAGGCCTCACAGCAAGTTTGAGACCAGCCTGGGCAATACAAGATCCTGTCTCTAAAGAAACAAAGCTGGGTGGTAGAGGCCTTTTTGTTTTTGTTTTTTTTTTTTAAAGGATGTTGGCAAGAATACCTAATAGTAAATGATGTGTCTGAAATGTAATGTAACGATATAATTCTTTATACACTTTGACTGATTTTTTTGCTTTTGGGAATTGTCATTTCAATTACAGGTTTGCATCGCCAGCTTCTGTATGTTACTTCCTTTTTTTTTGCTGGATATTATCTTTTAAAACGTCAAGACTATATGTATGCTGTGAGGGACCACGACATGTTTGGGTATATGAAATTACATCCAGAGGACTTCCCTGAAAAAGGTATTTCAAGTTCATTGTAAACAACAACAGCAACAAAAAAATCCTCTCTCTTTGCTCTGTCTCATTTTCCCTGGTTAATTTTTTTTCCATGCCATGGCTTCAGGTTGTGTCTAGCTCTGTTGACTCCCAAGAATCTCTTGAATCATGCATACTTTCTCTGGCTGTGTAGCTCTCCTCTCTTGTGCTGCAGCTAAAGCCCAAGTTCCCTTTTCCTTCCCAAACCTTCTGCTCAACTTTGAACTTGCTTTCTCTGCTTGAACTTTTGGCACCTGCCTCTGGCTCACTTCCTTTGTACTAACAGTGACTCTCGTCACCTTTCTCTGCTTAAACCAGCTATTGATTACCATTGATAAAATCCATTCCATGGTGTGATGCATTTCTACAGGCTGAGTTCACCTGTTTGACAGAAACATCTGTTCATTCTTTTTACCTTTATATTGTATGTTTTTGTCTCCCTCATTGGACTGCAGTTTCCTCTTTGCTTTCCCAGCCTCTAGCACAGAGCCTATACTACAGCACTTACAAATAACACCCACCTCAACTGTAGGGAACCCTCTCTTGCCTCCCATCACTCATCAAGGGATGCCAGGAGTCTCCTGGCTAAAGGATGAAGGAAGGAATAATATGTAGAAAGGGAAACGAGGAGCACAAAGAGGAAGAAGATACAAGGTGGTTAAAAGTGATGCAAGGCAGGCTCAGGATAAGCATTTCCCAAGCCACCTCACTGACAGTGGGAGTGTGGAGAGCTTGAACAATCAGGTGCTGACGTCTCCTGTACCCTCTCTATTTAGTCTTTTAGCCAGGATACCCCTGGTTACCAGGGGACACCCTGGTAGCACTTTACCCCTCCTGACTATCAACGGGATGCCACTACAGATTCATGAAGTAAGATGTCAATGATTGACAAGCCATCAGTGAGGACAAGAAAATAAGGGCATTCTAAGGAGTTTGTCTTAATTGATTTGGGTTTCTGTAACATAATGCCTTATAAACAGAAATTTACTGCTTACAGTTCTGGACATTGAGAAGTCCAAGATCAAGATTCTGATGGTTGCAGTGCCTGGTGGGAGCTTATTCTGCTTCATAGATAGCACTTTCTTGCTGGGTTCTTACATGGTAGAAGAGGCAAGCCAGCTTCCTTTAGTGGCTGTAAGGACATTGATCCCATTCATGACTCAGTCCTCATGGCCTGATAACATTCCACCTTAGACCATAGCACTGGGGGCTGGATTTCAACATGAATTTTAGGGAGACACAACATTCAGATGACAGCAGTTTCCGTCAGTAAGATTTAGTGTTTTTGTCTTTTTAAAATGAAACATCGTTATTTATTTTTTTCATTGCCGAGGTAGGAGTCCAGGCCCTCATCCTTACTAGGCAAGTACTCTACTCCCTAGTAGAGCTGTATCCCTAGTCCAAGAAATACAATTTTAAAAATACAACTTTAAAATGAGGCTTAATGATTTTTCCTTTCACAGAGAAGAAAACTTATGGAGAAATTCTTGAAGAATTCAATCCAGTACGTTGAAGTCCTCAAAAGGCTTGCTCCTGTTCCACCAAGATATGTTTTTTCTGAATTTTATGGGACATATTAAAATAGTTACTATGAATTCTCTGGCTCCTTTGTAAAATTTACTTGTTTATTATATTGAAACAGGGTCTCATGTAGCCCCAGCTGGCCTTGAAATCGCTATGTATCTAAGAATGACCTTGAACTCCTGATCCTCCTACCTTTACCTCGTAGGTTAAGAGATTACAGATGTATATCACCACGCCCAGCTTGAGACTTTCTTCTTTGTATCCCAGACTGGCCTCCAACTGGCAATCCTCCTATCTCAGCATCTCCAGTGCTAGAATTAGAGGTGTATGCTAACACCACACCTGCCTTTGAATCCTTGTTATTGCAAAAAAAAAAAAAAAAAAAAAAAAAAAAAAAAAAAAAAAAAAAAAACCAGAAAAATGGTTCATCACAAAGTTATTTTCCTTTCAGGTGTTTTGGTTGTTTCATTTTGTTTTGTTTGAGACAGGGTGTCCCTATAGCCCCAGCTGGCCTAGGACTCACTATGTAGACCAGGCTGGCCTTGATCTCATAGGAATCTGCCTGCCTCTGCCTCCTGAGTACTGGGATTAAAGGTGTATACCACCATGCCTAACCCAGTTTTTTTTTATTTAAAATTTACGTGTGTGTGTGTATGTGTGTGTGTGAGCGCACACGCGCACACGTGCGTGTGTGGTGGCACAGTCAGTTCTCTCCTACCATGCAGATTCCAGGGATCCAAATCAGGTTGGAAGGCTTGGTGGCATGTGCTTTTCCCCCAGAGTCATCTTAATTGGCCCCTTAATTCACCCAATTTAAAGACATTTGAAAGATTTAAAATATTTTTTCCACATGTATTGTGTGTATATTCATGCCACAGCATGTATGTGGAGGTCAGCAGACAACTTTCAGGAGTCAGTTCTTCCACCATGCAATCCCCAGAGATCTAATTTAGATTGTCAGGTTTTGTAGTAGGCACCTTTATCCACTGAGCCATCTCACTGGTCCATTTAAAAGATTTTCCACTCAGGAGGCAGAGGCAGGTGGATCTCTTGTGAGTTCAACGCCAGCCTGGTCTACATAGTGAGTTCCAGGCCAGCTGGGGCTGCAGGGAGACCCTTTCTCAAAAAGACCAAAAAAAAAAAAAGATTTTCCAGTGATGTTTAGAGGCTGTGTATAGAACTCAGTAGAGTGCCTTTCGCCCATACAAGGTCCTAGTTCTATCCCTAGCCACTACAAACAATAAAATAGAAAAACTTCAGTCTGTGACTCAAATCTATCCTCCTGCTGAGAAAGTTGTGGGCAGGGAGGGTTATTTTTTTGTTAAGCAAAGTCTCATGTAGCCCAGCTGGCCTTAAACTCATACGTTGCCAAGCCATGACCTTAAACTTCTGATCTTCCTGCCTCCACCTTCCCGATAACAGGAATGTGACCCAATTTATGCAGTTTTGGAATTGAAGCCAGAGTGCTATGCATGCTGGGCAAGTAGTTTGCCAACTGAACTATATCACCAACAACCCAAAGTTAATAAAGTTTTATTGGCACACAGCTGTGTTCATGTATGTGTTGATTATGGCTGCTCTGGTGCTATGGCAGCAGACGTGGGTGACGAAGGCCTTCTCTTGCAAAGTCTGAAGTAGTATCCGACCCTTCATAAACTATTTGCCTTCTCTTTTATTTGAGGAAAATACAAAGCAAGTAAGATTATGAAGGGTTTTGTGTTATACAAAATCATTTTGACTTGATCCTTTAAGTATTGGGAAGTCACCAAAGGGGGGATTGTTTGTAATTTGAGTTTTTGTGAGACAGAATCTCCCTGCACAACCAGTTAGCATTTGATCTTCCTGCCTCAGTTTACCCAAGTGCTGGGATTAAAACATGTCATCACTTTTGATTCACCAAAAGATTTTTATTTACTTTTTTATGTGTGTGTGTGTGTGTGTGTGTGCGCGCACGCGCACGCGTGTGTGCTAACGTGTGTGCGTGTGTGCGAAAGCACGCATGAATATGCAGGACAACTTGGAGTTGGTTCTCTCCTTCCATCATGAGGGTTCTGGGGATCAAACTCAGGTTGTCAGGCTTGGCAAGCACCCTTATCTACTGAGCTATCTGGCCAGCAATGACAGGTTTGTATTTCTGAGCTCTCCCTGTAATACTACGGGGCCGGGGGAGCATTCAACAGGGTGAATAGTAACATTCTGATGATACAAGCTTGGCGCTCAGGTGGGTCATTCTGGGGAAGATGGGCTTGGTACCTAGCATAGTCTGTGGTGGAGCTGAGGGCGGAGGAAGGAAGACCACATATCCCAGACAGGAAGTGCCTTTCCCCCCTCCAGTACTAGGAGAGATTATTTCTTTACAGACCATCAGTTCCAAATGCTGTCCAGAGCCTTTTTGTTTTCAGGCTTAGTTTTTATGATCAGATTAGGTTTTAGAGATTAGTAAACTTGTTAGGTACATGGCTTCAGATTGGGTGGCAGTATGACTATTTGCAGATTGGGGGAAAAACCAAATAAATTGTCTTCTCACTGGAGTCCAGTTGTAAACCATGAAATTATATCAGAGAAAGTGCTCTTCATAAAGACATACACATCACATTTTTTCCATTACTGCAATAAATAGGTTCGTAATTCACCCGTGCTCAGCCTCATCAGTGGTCAGCAGATCCAGCAGGAGAGCTGCTTGTTCCACAGAACTCCACCTCTACCTCTCCTGGAGGGTGAAAAGCAAGGACCCCAGCAAGTACACCGGGGAAGATGGGAGGAAACCGGCCAGTTGCAAGAGCTCTTGAGTGCAAGGGGCTTTTGAGTCATCTTGTTTTGTTTTTTCATAACCTTGTGAGGTAGATACAGCAGTGTCGTTTTATACAGGAGGGAATTTGGGCTCCAGTGGGTGAATATCATGACCATTAAGTAGATGGCTGCAGAGAAGAGGGATATGAACTTGGATCATGTGCTAACAAATCTGCTTTCTACTGATCCACACTGCCTTAACCACTAGTCACCCCCTCAAGCTGATAAGTGGAGGAAGAGGAGAGCAGCAACAAACATCATACAGGCTAGCTGGTAACCAGAGGCAAATTGGTACTTCGAGGAAGGTGGGGAAGCATTGCAGAGACAATCTTCAGCTGCAGGTCCAGCCTTCCTTTCCGGTCTCCAGGCTGATGCACTGCTGAGCCTCATCAGAGTCTGCCTTCTGTGTAACGTGACCTGTGGGATGTGGAAATATTTAAAAAGCCAGATGTCTATAAATATGAACATCTGAAGTGCTATCCTGTGCCTGCTGACAGAGAATGAAATACTGGCCTTGCTGGAGAGCTGGCAGCACTTCCAAGTCTGCAGTGTCAAAGGCTGTCAGAGCTGGGCTTACTTGTCTGGTTCCTCCTCTACGTCTTATTGACAGAAGGATCATATAGAGGGCAATGGCAGAGCTAAGACAAGAGCCCAGAGTTTTAAGCTGCTGTGCTGTACTAACTCCATGAATGAAAATCAGGTTAGGGTGTGCTGGACTACTACAGGATAGAGCTACTGTTTTGGCCTTTAGAGCTGTTTGATGAGTTGAAGAATATGACTTCTACCTCTGCCATCCCCAATTCCCACTTCCACTGTGGGCTTCAGGCTCCAAGGGAGGAGCCTGCTTTCTTATACTTACTTGCTTTCCATCTACCAGAGGAGATGGAAAGAGACTCAAGTTAGGCCAGGGCATTTACTAAATGATTTGGGGCTTATTTTATTTCTCAGGGCCCCAGGGTTTTCTCAGTTTGGTGTGGTTTTTTTCTTTGTTTTGTTGAGACAGAGTCTCACTATGCAGCTCTGGCTGGCCTGGAACTGACTGTAGACCAGACTGGCCTCAAACTCACAGAGATCCACCTGCTCTGCCTACCAAGTGTTGGGATCAAATGTGTGCACCACCACACCTGGCCCTGGTTTGGTTTTTGAAACGTTTGTGTAGCCCATGCTGGCCTAAGCATGCCATGTATCCTAGGATAGCCTTGAACTTCTGATTTCCTGCCTCTACCTCCCAAGTGCTGGGATTATAGACATATAACACCATGCCTGTCAGGCCTTTTTTTTTTTTTTTTTTTTTTTTTTTTTTTTTTTTGAGACAGGGTCTCCTTGTAGCCCCAGCTGTCCTGGAACTCACTATGTAGACCCGGCTGGCCTTGAACTCACAGGGATTCCCCTGCCTCTGCCTCCCTCCCTAGTGCTGGGACTAAAGGTGTGCTCCACCATGCCTGGCCCAATTTTCTTTATAAATGAAAACATAAAAATCGCTGGACATGGTCTCTATGTATATAGACAGGGTCTATGTATATAGACAGGGTCTCTATGTATATATATAAACTCCTGCACAAATTAAGTTAAAATTTGAAGGCGGTGGGTGGGGGGCTCACTTTTAATGCCAGAACTCCAGAGGCAGAGATAAGAGGTCCGCCTGAGCTGCCTAGGGAGTTCCAGGCTAGCCTTGGGGCTACAGGAAGAGCTTTTCCCAGAGTGGAAATGTAGCAATTACGTCCTTCTGCTAATGTAGACCTGGAGATGGCAGTGTTGTCCCGCTGCTGGGGTTGGTCCTCTCTGAGCTTTGTAAAATTAGAACTCTAGCCGGGCGGGCGTGGTGGCACACGCCTTTAATCCCAGCACTAGGGAGGGAGGCAGAGGCAGGGGAATCCCTGTGAGTTCAAGGCCAGCTGGGTCTACATAGCGAGTTCCAGGTTCCAGGACAGCTGGGGCTACAGGGAGACGCTGTCTCAAAAAGACCAAAAAAAATTTTTTTTTAGTGGGCCAGCAAGATGGCTCAGCATGTAAGAGCACTTGCTGCATAAGCCTGGTAACTTGAATTTAATCCCTGGAATGCTTGATGAAAAGAGAGAACCAAATCTCCAAAGTTCTCCTCTGACCTCCACACTACACATGCACATGAACACACATGTCATACACACACAATAATAATAAGTTTTGAAAGTAATGATAATTCATTAGATAATTGGTATGCCAGTGATTTACACACTATTCAAGTGCAAGTTGTTATTTTTACTGTTATTATCAGTGAAGAAACTGAAACCTGAAGAAGTGGTGTGGTTTTTCACAGCTTCACAGCCCATTAGTGACGCAGGCACTGAGGACACAGCTCCCTTGAGATCCCTGCTGTTGACCCAGCCTAGTTTAACTCAAGGAGAACCTTAGGAAAGCAGCCAGGAAGCCTCAAGGGGAGAGGGAAATAGGGCTGAGGTTGACAGTTGGGTTTAAGGTGGAGAAAGTAAAACCGGATTTTTCTCTAGTCTATGTGAGGGAAGAGGGGCCATGTTTATTCCCCATCATCCTAAATGGCAGAGAGTGAGTATAACAGAAAAGAATACTCAGTTCAAATCTGGGACCCGTCATCCTTTGTCTGTTTGGTTTGATGAGGCTGGCCTGGAACCCACGGTCCTCCTGCCTCTGCCTCCTGAGTTCTGAGAACACACCATGCCTTGCCTTTCTTTATGTCCCCTTCCTAACTATGTGACTTCAGATGAGTCATTTCTCCAGCTCTAATGTCCTTACTAGTAAATGGAGATACACTTTCTTATACTTACTTATTTAGTTGGGGGAGGGGAGTTGGCATACATATGCCACAATGTGAGTGTGGTGGTCAGAGGACAACTTGTGGGAGTCAGTTCTCTTCTTCCACCATGGGGGCTGGAACTCAGGTAATCAGGCTTTGTGGCAAGCACCTTTTCTTGATGAGCCATGCAGCCAGCTCTGGAGCTAAAATTTTGTCCCTCAGTCCTATATCAAGTAATATATATGGTTTATAACTGATAGCACAAGTTTATAATGAAGTAGGGAGGGCAGATGGCACAGGGTCAAAACTGGCAGATGCTGTGGTCTGATTTCCCCAAGTCTCTACCTATGAGGAGCCCATGGCTGTGGCTGAGGTCCTTTTCCCACATGCTGTCCTCTGCCATCCACCTGTTTGCTTGCTGCTCATTCCCCTCTCCCCCAGCCTCTGTGCATGGATATGTGGGCTCAAGGATTCACAACTGGCACACTTTCACACCTCGTGTGCCTACTTAGCCCCTTCATCTTGCTGTTTGGCAGGTTGCAAGCTGAGATGATCAGAGTAGCCCTGCCAATTACAGCAGCACTGTGAGCAGCCTTACCTATATGTTCCCATGTGCCATGGAAGAATACTTTTCCATGTTCCATGACTTGAAGAAAACATGTTGGGCAGCACTGCCATATACACATAGAATGCAGTGCCCGTCTACATAAATACATCTCCCGTGGGTAAGTATCTTGCAAAATTAAAATGATAAAACTCATCTTTGGCAGCCAGGCATGGTGTTGCACATCTGTAATCCCAGAATTCAAGAGACAGTAGCAGGAGAGTTCAATCTTGAATACAGCTGGGCTGTAGAGTGACACCGTCTCAAAACATTAAAAAAATACCCTCATCTTTGTAGGATTATACAAGATCATTCTGTGTCAAGCAACTAGATTTCTGCTGGCCTTACTATGTGTGTACATGGAAGTTCCTAACACATGACATCAGGGGTTCTTAGGATTTGTGGGTGGCATTAGTGGATAGTATATCCTTTAGAATTACAAGTTCACTATGCATCTTAACTCTGGACATGTCCATAGCTATAATCAAGTTCTTAAAGTTGACTTTGGGATGGCAAGATGGCTCAGCAGGTAAAGATGCTGGCCTTCCAAGCCTGGAGACTTGAGTCCAATCCCTAAAATCCACGTTAAAAGTGGAAAGAGAGAACTGACTCCACAGAATTGCCCTCTGACCTCTACACACACCATGGCACCCCTCCCCCATGCACGCACACAATAATCATTAATAATAATAAATATTTTAAAGGGGCTGGCCAAATGTCTCAGTAAAAGTGCCTGCTGCTAATCCTGACAACCAGAGTTTGAGCCCTGGGACTCACATGGTGGAAAGAGAGAACCGACCCCCCAAGTTGCCCACTGATCTCCACAAGCATGAGTATACACACACAAAAATGTAATTAAAATTATTTTTAAAAGAAATTGACCTTACCCATGCATATCGTCAATCCCAATACTTGGGAGGCAAACTAGGCAGATCTCTGTGAGTTTGAGGCCAGCCTGGTCTATATATTGAGTCCCAGGCCAGGCAGGGCTATACAATGAGATCCTGTCTCAAATCCTGCCTGCCCCAAAATTGGCCTTGAGAACGTACTTGTGCAAACAAACATACTAACAAACACACACACACACACACACACACACATTTACTTAGGGGTATGTACTCACAGGCTACTTTTCTTATTTCTGTAGCAATTCATGGTCATTATTCACCAATACTGGTTAGGAAGGCAGGCCAGTCCTGGGCCCTCCCAAGTGATAGTCCCAATACCCTGATGTGAGCACTCAGCTATCCTCCTACTAGGCTGTACCATTATCCACCTCCTCCCCTGGAATGTCCCTTCATGGATTCTGACCCACTAGCCCAGCCACCATTACCTTCCTTAGAGTTGGAGGCCTATGGGACCTGTCCCATCATTTCCTGGTATTTCCTCGTCACCTCCTGGGCTTTCAGGGTAAGGTGGGTAAGGATGCCATGGAGACTGGAGAAGTGCAGATAGAACTGGGCTTCCAGGTCCAGCTCCCCTGAGACTCTCTCTTCATCAGCCTCCTCTGCCTCAGAAACTTCATTCTCAGCCTCAGTGATGTCGCTGCCAGCTATCTTGGCCTGCCACTCCTCCCTTGGAAGCAGCCCGTGGTCCACTTCCACACAGATGGTCTTAAGCATGGTGAAGTAGGAATAGAGATCAGGGGCCCCCTCCTGGGCTGAGCCCCCATGCCCATTCAGCTGCACATCCCGCAGAAGACTGGGGATCATCACCACCTGCTCCATGTTGTGCACCACAGCTGAGTACCGGTCCATGACGGCCAGCAGGCAGTTCTTGGGGTACCGCTTGGTTAGCACTTGCATCGCTGCCTCCTTTCTCAAACTGAGTCCAGCAGGCTGCCCTGACACTATTTCTAGGCTTTTGATCTGACAGCAGATTGACAAGCTGCCAAAGCCAGCCACTGGATCAACACAGGCCTGTTTTAAGCCAATCCCAGGGTTTGGTCCCCAGTGTCTACATCAGGTGATCCATCTACCCAAGGACAAACCTGACAGCCTTGTGCTTGTCAATTCAGCTCTATATGGCTGCCTCAATGAAAGTCCAGCTCTTCTTTTAGAAGCCTGCCCAACCAGTCAGAGGGGAGCTTTTTCCCTTTGGCACCTGGTGCTCTTGACTGCAGAACAATCAATATTTCTTTTTGGTCACTTGAAGTCAAGCTGCCTCTATGCTGTTTGCTTAGGGCAGCCTCCTAATGCACACAGCTCACTTCTTCAATCTGGGTACTTAGTTGTGAAATGAACATGGGAACCATGTCGAAATGGAACAGCTTGGTATGGAACAGAGCACTGAAGCTGGGGCTGGAAGTCCAGTTGTATGTGTGACATCACACTTAGGTCCAGGCAGCCTTTTTTAGAGGGGTACTTTTCCACCAAGCACTTCCCTATGAAAAAAATCCACCAGCAAGATACATCAGCTCAGTATAACTTCAATAGGTTAAAGACTTTGCATCAAATTGAACCCTAAATTAAATTGGAAAAGAGCAACTTCTCAAAATTAATTTATTAAATTAAAGAATCTCGCTGGGCATGGTGGCATATGCCTTTAATCCCAGAATTCGGGAGGCAGAGACAGGTAGATCTCTATGAGTTCAAAGCCAGCTTGGTCTACATAGTGAGTTCCAGGCCAGCTGCAGCAGCTACAGGGAGCTCCTGCCTCCAAAAGACTAAAAAAAGGAAGAAGAAGAAGAAGAAAGAAAAAAAAAAAGAATCTGCCAGGCATGTTGAATCACATCAGTAATGCCAACACTCAGAAGGTTAAGACAGTAAGATTGCCACAAGCTTGAGGCCAGCCTGGGGTACATAATGAGTTCCAGGCTAGCCTGAGCTACAAAATAAAACCGTGTCTCAAACAATAAAAGTTTAGGGACTGGGAAATGTAGCTCAGTGGTAGGATGCTTGCCTACAGGAGGCATCACTACCAAAAATTAACATAATTAAATAACCATTTGATTAATTTACTTCTCTCTAGTCATGTTTTGTTGGGATTTTTTTTACCTTTACTGGGGTAAAATTCTCAAAGTCCTCAGTTGCTGAATAGTGGGTTCAACTCAAAACCATGAAGCCAGAAGGATACTGGCGTTAGGGTCCTGGCATTGCACACACTTGCCCTGCAGCCAGACTCCCTGGGCTCCAGCATTTGCACTGTAACTGAAAAGTGTGGAAATCTCCAAAGGAAAGTCTTTCCAGTCCTGGTTGAGTAACTTCTTTTGAGTCCATGTCTAGGTCCCCAAGGGCATTACTCTCTGCCTTAGTAGCCAAGCCCAGGGTCACCGACGCAGAACTGGCAAACACAATGTTCTGTTGTGATCAGGTCTGAGAGAGCTGACTCCGGCATGACATGGGGAACAGGCCCCTGGAGCCTCTGGAGCAGCTGCCTCCTCCCTCTTTCGCCTAGTGACCTGATCAGCCCTGAGCTGCCCCTGCTGCATCTGTAGATGAGGACTTGTCTTTGTTAAGGCTTCTGAGCCTTGGTTCCTCCCAAGCACCTGGTTTCTGGGCTTGAAGCAGAAGGGCAGAGTGAGAGTGCTAATGGACAAAGGAGAGAGGGGATTAGCAATTAAGTGAATAAAATGAACTCTGTGCACGAAGCACTGCAGAATACATGGGGAGCCCTGGGAAGGACTGAGAAGAGTCTGCATGACTAGAGACACCCAGCCAGCAGACTACAAACCACGACTGCCTTCAGGTCTCCATGGCAGATGGAAAGCCCTGGATAAAATGTGACTGTCCATGTGTCATATTAGAGGACAGACAGCTGGAAAGATAGCTAAGTTGGTAAAGTTCTTGCTGGGTAAGCATGAGGACCTGAGTTTGATACACAGCACACATGTAAAAAATTGGGTGTGGTGCCCAATCATTTAGCTTGTGCTTATAATCCCAGCAATGAGAAGATGGAAACAGGAGCATCCCTGTCTCAAAAAATAAAAAACGTGGGGGCTGGAGAGATGGCTCAGTGGTTAAAAGCACTAGCTTCTCTTACAGAAGACCCAGGTTTGAATCTCAGCACCCACATGGTGGGTTAGCAACCATCTGTAAACTCCAGTTCCAGAGCATCCGACACAACCTCCGGGGGCACTGCACAACACAGATGCACTTACACACATGCAGGCATAACATACACATAAAATAAAAAATAATTTTTTGTGGGGGGCGGCTGGAGCGCTGGCTCAGCGGTTAAGAACACTGGTTGTTCTTGCAGAAGACCCGGGTTCAAATACCAGCACCCACATGGCAGCTAACAACTGTCCATAACTCCAGTCCCAGGGGATCCAGCAACTTCTTCTGACCTCCATGGGCATTACACGACACGGGTGCAATTACCTACATGCAGGCAATACATGCATACACATAAAATAAAAAAATAATAAATAATTTTTTTTTCAGTGCTGAGGACCAAACCCAGGGCCTTGCGCTTGCTTGGCAAGCACTCTACCACTGAGCTAAATCCCCAACCCCAATAAAATATTTTTTAAAAATAAATAAGTTTTTTGGGGGGCTGGGGAGATGGCTCAGCAGTTAAGAGCACTGACTGCCTTTACAGAGGACCAAGGTTCAATTCCCAGCACTCACACGGCGGCTTCGAACCGTCCTTAACTCCAGTTCCAGGGGAATCTGACACCCTCTTCTGACCTCCGCAGCATTGCATGACATGGGTACACTCACATACATGCAGGCAATATACTCATACACATAAAATTAAAAAAATAAATGTTATTTTTTAAAAAGTGGTGACTCCTGAGGAATGTCACCAACATTGACTTCTGTCCTTCATATGTGTGAACAAACATATGCACTCATGCGCGCGCACACACACACACATACACACACACACACACACAGACTGGAATCCTAAGGGGACAGGCTAGGCTCAGACAAATTATAGAATTGTTGAGAGGAAGGAGGCAGGAAGGGGGAAGCAGGGTCTTCTCGGGAGAAGGGTTGGTTGTGCCCTCCAAGAGGCCATATCTGCTCCAGCAGGGCCATAGCAGCAGAGGAAATCACAGCAAAGACAGGAAGCGGCAGCAGCTAGGCTAGCCCTCAAGCATCAGTAAATTTTCCAAGCCTTGGGCTGGGGAACTAGCTCAGTGACAGTGCACTTGCCTAGCATACATGTGACACCCTGAGTTCAATCCCCAGCACTACCCACACATATAAAAAGAATTTCTCCAGACTTCCTTTTCACAACCACATGGGGAAACTGAGGCTGGGCTAGGCGAGATGTCTCCTGGAATGGCCTTATCTTGAAAGCCCCAAGCTTAGACAAACTTAATTGGTCACAGAGGGACTGGAGTCAAGGGCCTGGCCTTGAGCACCATGTGAATGTGACACAAGGGTAAGATGTGGTACACGGGCTGTAACATCCCAGGAAACCCTGGCTGGCCTTGAGTCCAGGTGGTCACAGACCAAGGCAGGGAGAATCTTCCCAGTTTAAAAATGATTTTTACATATACACGTCACCTAATGTCTATGGACCCCAGACTATTCTCTCATTCTCTCTCTCTTTCTCTCTCTCTCATTCTCTCTCTCTCGTTCTCCCTCTCTCTCTCATTCTCTCTCTCTCTCTCTCTCTCTCTCTCTCTCTCTCTCTCTCTCATGCTGGGATGAAACCCAGGGCCCCCTAGGCAAGTACCTTACCACTAAACTACACACCCAGCCTCCTCTGCCCCCTGATATTTTCCTCCATGGTTTCACTTCAGTCCTGACCCATGGGATCAAGAGTCAGAAGCATTTATAGAGCTGAGGATGTGCTTTAGTAGTGGACCGTTTGTCTAGTATGTGTAAGGCCCTGGGTTTGATCCTCATTAATACACACACACACACACACACACACACACACACACACACACACACACGTCAGAAGTCTTATATTCATGATCTTCTTCACCCCCACCCTCAGTCACTCTGTGTTCTAAGCCCTAGAGAAGCCCATGTACTGAAAGCACACTGTGTGTCAGCTCTGTGCTGGGGAATAACAGTACATGAATAGATGTGATCTGGGACGTTGGAGAGAGCCATGAGGAACACATGCACAGACCCATCTGGCTGTGGTACCACATTGTCCACATTGTGATGTACAAAATAAGGTAACAAGTTAGAGTCACTAGTGAATTGCAGGCCAGCAGCATTTAGTGCCTCAGACCACCAGCCGTACAGCCCCTCAGGCCCTGCCCAGCCTGACTCCAAACACTATAATTACACCATGGAAAAAGGCAGTTTGAATGTACTCAGCTTCTGGAAGAGCTGACCTCGAAGCAGAAGGAACAGCAAGTGCTATCAACCTCCCCAAACTCCTTAAAGGGACAGCTGGCTTTCTCTTTACCCTGGAACACAAACAGATCTCTGCTATTCAGAGAATCTACTACAAGTGCTACTGTTACAGGCTCTGTGTGAAGAGCTGACCAGAGTGGACCCAGGAAGCTGGCAGGTCTTCCTGTCCAACCCCACTCCCCACTTCCCCTGTCCCACTCCTCCCCGAGTTCTGGGAAAAACCAGTCCTTCCTACAGCTGATGCAATGAGCTCTCAAGCCAGTGTCCCAGCCAGCCCTGGTTTTCTGTGCTTGTGGAATAGAAGAGGGGCTGACATGTCCTCAAAGTGCTTCCTCCTCAGTTCATCAATCAAAACATCAGGATTCTTACAGCTGCAAGATTCTGTGGTGATCTGGACACACAGCCTCTACAATTTACTGATGTGGAAACTGAAGCTGAACTGTATGTTCCCACTCATGTTTTGCTCCCTCCTCTGGGAAAACTTCACCTCCCACACTGATCATGTACTATAAGGCTACGATACTTTAAAATCCTGAGACAAAAGTTGCCAAAAATATACCTGCTTTGTCATTGTCTGTGAGCTCTTGGAAGGTAGGAGCCAGGTTTTTCCTCTTCCCTCTGCCCTGCATTCAGGAGCTCAGAACATTTCCTATTTCCTTCTTTGCTTACTAAAAGGGTAAATGGTTTGTGTGTATACACACATACACACACACACATGCACACACACACAT